AAAAAAAATTTTTTTATTCACACCCTCAATATTTCAAAACTCGTAAAAAACTAAATATTTTAACGCGTAATCATGACACTGTTAAAAAATGTACTACGTGGCACCCAGAAATTGACGTGGCACCATGTGACGTTAGTAATCCAACGTGGATCTCTTTTTTTGATGATGTGACTTATTTTCTGCACACGTGGATGCCACGTGTACAATGAGACCAACAAAAAATTATAATATATGGTACCAAACAGTAACATAAACGTTATGTCACCTTATTAATCCAATGTGAACTTTTTTTTTTTTTTATGATGTGGCATTTCTTCATCTTTTTCTTTCTTCCTCATCCTCGGCATCATCTTCACCATCTTCCATCTTCAGCATCCTCCATCTTCAGCATCCTCTTCTCAATGGGTTCTACGAAACCTAGTTTCTGGGTTCTAACCTTTTTTTTTTTCATTTTTTTATTTTGAATGTATTTATCTTAGTTTCCTATTTTATGCAAAGCAATTTGGAATAATTTTTTTATAGGAAAGGTGAATTTTTTTTGCTTGTAGATTGTTTCTGAACAGGTTGCTGATTTGAGTTCAAGTGGGATTAACATGAATGGCAATAACGGTTTTTTCATTTTTTGTGGGAAAGGGGTGGAAGATGCATATGATGTTTTTGTGTAGTATTCATTTACTTATAATTGTGTGGATGCAGATCTTAGCTTTGTAGGCATTCATGTGAAATTGGGTTCCATGAGGAACTTAGAACCTGAGTTCTACGAGGAACCCAGGAGGATGAGGACAAGGATGGTGAAGATGATGCCAAGAAAGAAGAAAATGAAGAAATTAAAATTAATTATGATTTAATTATAACATATTATAAAAAAAAAAGTCCACATTGGATTAATAAGGTGACATGACGTTCATGTTACTGTTTGATGTCATGTATTATAATTTTTAACAGTTATTAATGGTACTGTGACAGTGTATTAAAATATTAAAATTTTTACGGATTTTAAAAAGTTGAGAGTGTGAATAA